ATTTAAGAACTTAAACCCAAATGCACAATCACAAAAAAAGAGAAAAAAGGCATACCCCACTATCAGAGTCATGGCGAATCCTAACAAGTTCATTCCTTTTGTGGGATCCAGCCACCATCCCTCCAGTTGCCTCCATTTTGCTCGGTTATCACCAGTAGGATAACAGATCCTTGTTGATTATATGAGCGCAAGTTTGATACAATCTTTAGAGGAAATGTGAGAGCAGGGAAGCATGGACCGATTCTTGATGTCAATCAATCGGCCATCTCTCAGCAAGAAGAAATGTGTAGTGTGGATTCCTTGTTAGTTAGCACACTGAAGGGGACAGTAATAAGAGGTAGGTTGTGTGTGTGCTGTGTTATTTCAACAACAATTGTACCTGTCGGTGACACAACACTTGCCTGAACTGAGATTCCACCTAAATTACTATCGTGCCCCTCATATTCGTCATGACTTTTTTTTTTCCCTTTCGACGGGACCGTACCCATATTGATATATTCTGCAACCTCACATAAATTATTTTTATGACATTTTTCTAAATTCAAACTTATTATTATTTTGATATCAAATGATTATTCAAATCTACCTTTTGTACCAACTTTTATATCAATCAATTGTTATAATATTTTCAATCAAGAACAAATAGACTAACTTTTACGAATACTTCATTCGTCTGAATATATCTGCTAATTTTTTATTACTACCTATTTATATAAATCAATTGTTATAATATTTTCAATATGTCTCTTAATTTTCCTTTACCTTTGCGGACGACATTCTTTCGCCGGTATTTGTCGGAACTATTTTCGGAATTTTTCATAAAGTGAAAACGATAGAGAGTGTTTTGTAAAAAATGGTTATTTTTTTTTAACTAAAATAGTATAAATGTATTTTAGGGGGCGGTGAGTAGTAATAGGGGGGCCGATGTATAGTATCTGATGTAGGGGAAGCGTACAAATGAGAAAAATAAACGAGATACTCTCTCGGTAAAACTCACAAAACTCAATCAATTCTTATTATCAATTCACCCCCGAATAACAAAGAAGGGGTATTTAAATAAGACACCCAAACCCTAAAACCTATCTTGTCCACAAGCCACGAAATATAAATAAATATTAAATCCTAATATTAATAATAGATATTATTCTGCATCATTCTCCTCCGGTTGAGGAGGATTCGCCCTCGAATCCGACCCGATCTCGTTGGAAATGTCCACATGACAGGAATCGTCCGACGTTTTCCCCAATCGAATACGAAGGTTGAATGTTGCTCAACCAGTACAACACTCTCTTGATTTTCATCAGACAGGGATACGTCTACAGCTGTCTCACCAACATCAACAATAGATACCAAGACCCTTCCAGATAAAGACATTGTATCAATACACCTTGGCCACAACCATGAACAAGCACAACGGCCTTCAGGATCAAATCCCACACAAAAAACGTGATACCACTTATCACAAGAATCATAAGCAATGGATGCAGCAATATCTGAATCTACATCAATTGACACCGATCCACTACGAATTTTGTAGTCATTGCCACCCACGCAGACAACTGCATCCTCTTCGATTCCCGTGTCCCCGCAAAGATTTTTTTCCGTCACTGGAGGCTCTTCATCAAAGATCGGCGGACCGTCGTACAATGGCCCGTCATCTTCCTCAAAAATTGTACTTTGTTGCTGCACATCTTGGTCGTCGTGCGCAGCAACGAGCTCAATCTAGACGGGCGGAGGCGGCCACTCTCCGGAGGGAACCACCTCCGATATGGTCTCCTCCCCGTCTGCATCGCCGGACGGCGATTGTGGAGATCGCCGACGGGGCGCCCCGCCTGGACCACGACCTCCACTTCCTCCGTTAACTCCCCCGCGCACACCCCGGTCGCCAACGGCACGGTTCATCTGCAAATCCCATACCACCTTGTTAAGCATCAAAGACAAATCCTCGATCTCCGTCGAAAGATCTGCAAACTAATCCGTGAAACGCACATCCAACTGTTCAAATCGGTAGTCGATCTGTTGAAACCGATCTTGAAGGTTGCGTCACGTCGTTCGTTTGCGGCATCTTGTCGTCCCGGAGGCATCGCGAATCGTACTGACTGCTGATACCAACTGATGTAGGAAGCATACGAATGGAAAAAATAAACAAGATACTCTCTCGGTAAAACTCACAAAACTCAATCAATTCTTATTATCAATTCACCCCCGAATAACAAAGAAGAGGGGTCTTTAAATAAGACACCCAAACCCTAAAACCTATCTTGTCCACCAAGCTACTAAATATAAATAAATATTAAATACTAATATTAATAATAGATATTATTCTGCATCAGTAACACTTTTTTTAAATTCGTGATTTGGAAAATAAAAAATAATTTAATTGTATAGGTGGTAATTTTCTCATGAATTTCGCTTCAATTTATATTAATTGTTGGGTGACAAATCAATTTTAGGAAATGTCTACGAAATGTCACTTTTATCGAGTTAATTGTTAAGAGTGACAATTCAATTTAGGTGTATACATCATTGACAAAATATAGCTAGTTAAGTCTTGCTTAACTAATCGAATTATTGTAGTCCGTCAGACTAATCGAATATTGTATCATTTGAGTGTAGTTATAATAATTTATTATCGATTGAAGAAAAAAAAAAAAGTCTTTCTTGGATACAAATAAATCAACTCAAGACGAAGGACATATTGATGGGGATAAAATTTGTGTTTTTTTTTGTTAAACAGAGTTAATTTTAAAGAAATTTAGTATCATTAATTTTTAATAGGATTTTAAATTTTTATCAAATAATCTTTTATATAATTAAAATTAATTTAATGTAAAAATATAACTGAAATGATATGAAGTCATGAATAATTAAAATTATGTGAATGAATTAATAACGAATTAAAAATTATGTGAATAAATTAATAACGTATTAAAATTGATGTATGTATAAAAATAATTAATTAATATTACTTAATATATTTAAGATAAAATGATTGAATTAATTTTTATATCCCACTTTTCCACAAAAATGATATATTTCATCTAGTAAAACACAAGCCAATCATGGTCTTGTCTCTACAATGAATTCACCATCACTATTACTTGCAGCAAACTAAAAGGCCAACATTTTAATTGCTAGTTTGCTACAACTAACTTGCTTTTGAGGTAAGAAGTTACCATTTCCAATAAATGGAGTGATAAAATCCCTAATTAACACTAGCATTCAAGTCAGCTTCAGTGAAATATGGAATAGAATAGACCTAACCAGGCCCGGCCCAATACCCGATACTAGCATAGCCATAATGAAAGGCTCTTCATATCATCACATGATAATCGCACCATATATATTAGCTTGATTCATCCTAATACATAAATTTCTGCATACAGCATCAACCAGCAAAAAGATAAGCAACCGACACATAGCACACATAGACTATCAATCTCATACATTGTATCTCGAACAAACTACTTTCTCCCCTCTTGCGAGCTACTAGTCGTGTTCTTCAGTATCTGCAAATCACAATGCAAAAACAAAGTCATCTTATTATGAAGCGAATAGGTTAGGTGGGCTTCCGCTTGAAAAGATGAGCAGAAAATACCACTCGAATGAACTTTTACCTGAGATTACAACTCAACTAATGACCAACAAAAGTAGTCGATGATGATTCTTGTCAACAAGTGGAGGAATTTTGTTCTTTACAGCCCCTATAAAGTTCCCAACAATCATGGCGTGTTTCATAGATGAGCTTAACCTATTATACTAGGTTACACATTCACAGAGTATTCACTTTTATACCCTTCGAGCGAAAAAATAGTGTATTAATAGATTCAAACACCAGGAACAGTCTCACTCTAGTCTTACAAAAAAAAACGACAATGAGAAATAAACAAAAAAAGAATTCCAGCATTTCCAAGATTCAAACACCCGTGCTTTATCCTAACCTAAAGAGAGGTCGATTAACTACTACTAATTCAAATTGTAGCAAAGCCAGTCACTTAAACCCTACCTTGTTCAGTAACAATGACTCAAGAGCTTAACACGAGTACCTAATCACTTAGTTACGTGTAAGCGACATAAACGAAAATCAGATACCTGTCTGAGCATTTGGTTCTCCTTTTGCAAAGTAGAAACCCTCTCCCCAAGCTCGGTATTATTAGTTTCCAACTCTTTAACCCTAGCCTCCAGATCAATCAAGTATTGCTTCTTCCGTTCCCTTGCTTGCTGTGCTGAAACTCTGTTCCTCAATAATCTTTTCCCCCCAAACACAACAACAATATATCAATTCATGAACCAAAAATCCACCCTGACAGAAGCAACTAATATAAATTCTATAAGCAATTAGTTATCGCATAAGTGGAGTAAATACAAGTATTTGCAAATACAAGCTTATAGTAACCACTGTTCTAAAAATCGGCCTAGGCGGCCGCCTAGGCGGCGCCTAGGCGCTAGGCGGTGCCCGGGCGCCCCGATTTGTACAAATCGGCAAAAAAAATCGGCGCGGCGCCTAGGCGGCCCTAGGCGCTCCTAGGCGGCCTTGGCGGGCTCGGCGGCCAGGCGGTTAGGCGGCGTCTAGGCGGGCGTAGGCGGACTTAGGCGTTCCTAGGCGGGCTCGGCGGCAATTTTTCAATTTTTTTTTTAATTTTTTTTTATTTTTCTAAATACTAATTACATTATTTTGTTCTCATGTTTTCTTTAATATATATTAATATTATTATTTGGACTTTGGTGTGTGAATTTATTATTTGAGATAATTTTATTTTGTAGGTAGTTAAAATAAATAAAAAATAAGGTATTTACTATTGATTTTTGGGCCCCGACTAGGTGCCGCCTAGGCCCCGACTAGGCGCTCTAGGCGCTAGGCACTGCTCGAGCGCCTAGCGGGCGCCTAGCGACTTTTAGAACACTGATAGTAACTGAATTAGTGTTAAATAAAAAGCAGTTGACAAATAAGTTGTGGAAGTGCTTAGTAACACATAAGCCTAAAACTAAGATCAGAAACTAAAAGGCAGCCCTTCATGCTTCTTCGAATAGAATTATAGCACTCCAATCACAAGCCATAGGAAATAACTAATACCACTTTACCTTTGCTTTTTCAACCTAAAGCTAATATCTTTCTCTTTGGGTGTGATTGCGAAAATACACCCAAAAGCTCCAACCAAACAACCCAAGTGCATGATCAGTCCATTTCCAATACACTTCCTATATCAGTGATGTCATTCTTTTAAGGTGAACCAAAGTATTTATGGGGACCACATTGACGAGGGGGGTAAATATTAGTTGATAAGATAGGCTTAACTCAACTTAAATTACCTTTTCAACCTCTTGTTCTCTTTGTCAGCTGGGCTTCTCCCTCTCCTCTTTGAACCGCTTGCCGAGGGCTTGGCCAAGACAGAACTACCCTCCCGGCCAGAGGTTGCGGGGCCGGTGGTCTCACCTCCAATCTCCGGTACTCGTCTTATCTCATCATCACTCTCCATGCCTAAAATCAAATTTCGAAACAAATTATTTAAAACTCATGATACAAGACTAATTGTTTCACTCTAACAAGATCTACATGCAGTTTTTAGTTCTAAAAGAAGAAATGAGCGTGGATCCACATTA